AGACACCCTGTATAATTCACTAACTATACTGTGAAGTTTGTTATGCAATTATGTTTTATTATACATATGTATACAATATGAATTCTTTATTTCACATACACATATAGGAGGTGTGGCTATTAAAGAACGAGATTGGTAGCAAAAATGTGGGTTATTATAATTCTGAATGAGAATTTCCCATTATTTGAAACGGTGTTGCAGGCCATCGTGTGTCAACCCCTTTAGCATCGCCGCCGTTTTCTTCTTTACCTCGTCTTCAGTTTGAAAATGAGTTCCCTTCAACGTAAAGTTTACCTTACGAAACAGGTAAAAGTCACACAAAGCTAAATCCAGCGTGCAAAGGAAGTGGTCCAGCCCAGAGATCCTCTTATCAGAAACTGCTTTATGGACAAAACATTGTGAGCTGGAACATTGCCGTGATGAAGAATCTACGTGTTGTTCTCACTACTGAATTAACTTTCGGACAGTGGATAAGATAAAGGAGAAAACAGCGGCGTTGCTGAAGAGATTGACATATGAACTGCAGCAGTTTCCAACAATGGAAACTTCGTATGCAATGACATATACATAGATAGAAGAAGAAAATAACAATTCAGTAACAATATTGTAATAATAAACCACGCTTTTGCCACCAGTCTCGTTATTTAATAGTACTTGGTGCTTCTTAATCTTATATGTCGTATTTTTTTATTCATTAAACTTAATGGGTTAAATAACAAAAGATGATGATGTCGACGGTAACTGGCCCATATATTTATTTAAAATACTACGTTTCGACTAGTAATACTAGTCCTTTTCAAGTAATAGCCCATTAAATGTGGCAGCAAGAAATGGGTGACATATTGAGCGTACGCTTTATAAAGAAAGAGGCGCAGTAAATTAATATGCACATGTTACTTCAAATTGAAATTAATGTAAGTCACTAAGAACGTCTGTTCGTATAAAAGGCTTGTGGAAGACTTAATGAGCTATTACTTGAAAAGGACTAGTATTACTAGTCGAAACGTAGTATTTTAAATAAATATATGGGCCAGTTATCGTCGACATCATCATCTTTTGTTATTTTTCTTCACCCACTGGCAATCCACCTTCTCCAAGTTTGTTTAATGGGTTAACTGTATTATTATCAGAATATGTTTTTCAGTTGGTCAAATCGTCAGTCGGTTATTTATCCGTTTTGCACACAACGAGAAGGTGATAAAAAAAAGTGAGAAAAACTTTTTCCTACATTACGCAACTATGTTTATGGAAATTTATAGTTCAACTATGCTAATATTAATATATCATTCACAAATGAAAATATTTCAACGCATTTGTTGATTAGAATAAGTTACGGATTCTTTTAAGTAATGGTACAAATCAAAATATATAGGTACTCACTTTCCAATACATTTTTATGCTTTGCATGTATCTTGAAAAATTCGAACAATAAGAACAAACAATCACCATTTTTGTAAATTTATTTTCAAAACCAGCGGTGTACGATATGCTCGATATACTATACTGCTATAAGCAAAAGTTATAAGCAACAGAGGATCATAGAAGCGTGGGAATATAACAGGTGCACTTATGTAGACTTTTTTTCGTCAGACACAGCCACCTGTTATCGCGTAATTTTTTATTCACACATGTTTTGCGTGACGAGCGGTGTTGGAAACTTGACAAAAATTTGAAACGAAAGTAGAAGCAGAATATTTAAAATACTGTGTTACTGGTTGATCGTTCGTACTTTCGGGAAGTACCTGAAATTGTAAGCATGCGCAAGAAATGTTCTTTACTGCACAAGAGGTAACGTCGATTCATGATAGAGGAATAGACGCCAGTCTTTAGATAACAGTGGACATGAAAAGTCCAAAATATAACGGATACCAAGGTGCTTACAGTTCTGTAGTATTTTATTTTTTAATTTTATACAAGTAGTGGCATTATTTAACAATTGCAATCCATAGCTCACTTTTTCACTATTAACAAAACTTCTAGATTATTGCCTTATGCAGTAAGTTGTGTTTGCATCTGTTGTTGTCTTTTATGACTATATTATTGTTATATCTAACAACATTAGTTACATCTAACTACAACAACTTGAAATATGAATCATGGCTTTTTAATAATTATTTACTATTTTCTGTATCATGAAGATTGTATTTTAAACTATTACACGCAGTTTAATTATAATTATGTTTGTTGGAGTATGTTATATTAGAATTATGTAATCTTATTACAAGTTCTGGACTCACGATTTCTGCAGGTAGATTTCGAATGGGCGGTGAAACTCAATCGGTTCACTTTAAATTTGATTGGACTTTGGCCTAAGATCGCACGAAATCGTCGAGAGAAATTGATGTGCAATTTTCGAATGCTGATAGCTTGGCTGGGAATAATCGGCTTGATTATCCCCTCTATTCACTCCCTGATAAAAATTTTCGGAGACACTTTACTCATGTTAGATAATTTACAATTTACTTTACCAATAATAAGTTGTGCGATTAGAATTATGATTTTTCGGTGGAAAAAAGAAGGTAGAGACCATGCTTGATCATTTTTGGTAGAGATAATATATTGACAATATAATTTTTCTTGAAAAATTATGGAAACGTTGTTTATGTAATGCTGTTCTAATTTTGTTCTGCCTTTTACTGTTTAGGATTGAACTTAATATATTTTAATTTAGCAACGCTGTGAAATGTGCATAAAATTGTTTATTTTTAAGCTATTATTCCGATTATGAATATGATCGCGAAGGATTGGATAAAGTTGAAAAGTGATCAAGAAAGAAACTTGATGATCCAAAGAGCGCGAACAGCACGGAAAATTAACATTTGTTCCTACTGCATAATGGGATTACAGTACTTCTTTGTGGTCGGACTACCTGTTTTTGGAATGACAATGAGATTGACTCCAAATATTACTGACCCAGGAAAACCACTGCCTTACCAATCCTATTACGTTTACGATGTAACCAAAAGACCACAATACGAACTGACATTCATTAGTCAAAGCATCTACTTAGCTATTGGCATGATGGTTTATACCGGAGTCGACAATTTCCTCAGTCTTTTGATTTTTCATATATGTGGTCAGTTGGAGATTATTAAAAAACGTTTGCAATGTTTGGATAAATACATAAATTGCCACAAAGTGTTAAGATGTTGTGTAGCAAAACATAACTCTTTGCTTAGGTTTGTTATTCGTAAGAAAACATATACAAAATATATGTATATATTCTAGATGAAATATATGGTCGAGGATATAAATTACATGAAATATCTTTTATAGAGCTATTAGTATTATTGAAGATACGTATAACGTAATACTTCTCTGTTTGTTTATATATTTTGCCATACTTTTTGCTTTTTATGGATTTCGGCTGATCAACGTGAGTATTTAAAAGTTTAGACAAAAACACATTTGTGTAAATTATTTTGGAAAATAAAACATATAATGTATATGATCATAATGAATGTACTCCGATCCAGAAATTACTACGACGTTTTAATAATATAATCAATTAGTAAATTATTAATAAGAACATTTCTTTATTTATTTCATAAATTAATTAGCTATTCATCGAAGGAAATAATATGTCAGCTATTAACTTAATCTATTTCGTGTCCACTGTTTTTAATATATTTGTACACATGTGCCTATATTGTGTTCTCGGCGAGATTCTGGTGGCCCAGGTTAGTTATTTTTTTTTTATTTCAGCATTATTGTAAATGGAATGTTACATAATAACTTTGTGGCCTATTATATGGCAATAACTTCATTTTATTTAGATATAAGATCTTGTATACATGTAATGATAAGCAATTAAAAATATTTTTGATATTTTCAAGTGTAATAAAATATACTATGCGGCATACACTAATGAATGGTACACCATGGATCCAAAAGTTACAGAAGATTTGTTATTCTTAATGACAAGAGGTTCTAAACCAATTTATCTCACTGTTGGGAAAGTATCTCCAGTTACAATGGCTACATTTTGCAGTGTAAGATATTTTCTTGTTTGATTTAATCTATTATATTAAAATATCGTCTAGTCTCTCTCACTCAAATTTGATTGAAGTTTACCGCACTTATATTATACTTTAATATATGTATATAAAATTTGAATTTTTTATTGTGTATGCGTTATCTTAAATTCAATTATTATTTACTTCTTAATTTTACATTGTACAAATGCAAATTACAAGTATATTGTCATTAAAAAACATGTTTTTAGTTACTGAAAACATCCGTTGGTTATATATCTGTTTTGCATACAACGAGGCGGTGATAGAAAACGTGAAAGAAACATACCTGAAGTTTTTTTTCAATATATGTATAATGCAATTTTTTATAGAACTCGATAAAATTGTGTTGAAATGAATGTTATTTGCAAATAAATATATCTCAAATTATTCAAGTGGAATATGCTTAGAATTTTATTAAATAATGTTAAATAAAGATTAAGCGATGTAATGATGATGTTAGAGGCGATGGAGTGAGTTTAATTGGAAGAATCGTAAAAGAATCTACAGGTATTTGTTTAAATTTTGTTATATTACTGCTCTTTTAAATTTAACCATTTATTGTATGCAAAAATTAAATGTAGTACCATTTTAAATAACAATTTAAAATATTTTAAAAATAATTTCCTAATAAGTAGTACGTCAAACAAAGATTGCATAGTTTTATGACAATTTCTGTAGAACAATTTAGTTCCAAATACTTTTCAAATATCGCAGTCACTTTAATGTAGTTAAATACAATCATTTTTGCTCAAATTAATTGATTTTCATTTTATATAAATATGTAAACTAACGCACAATTAACAAATTTAATATCATATTTTAAAGACCAGTTGGAATACAAAGTTTATATATTTTTAAATGTATCTCACTAGATAATTATTTCGAAATAAGTGGTTTCTAAGTCATTTATGTTTTATATTAATTTGATATAAAACGTAGAACATTTCTTAAGGCATTTAGTTTTGATAAATATCTTACTTACTTATTAATACTTTAGTTTCTTGCGAAAATAACACAACAATTTGTAACTTCAGATAATTAAGAAAAATTAACAAAGTGAAACTGTATATATTGAAAAGTGTAGTGCTTGTCTTATTTTCAATATAATAAATTACGTCATTTTCTTACTAGTAATTATCTTGATACGTTTCCATGCTTATTTAAACCTGCAATTCATTATTTAATACTAATAGCAGAAGATTATATAGAATTACAGATCACAAAGAAGAAAAAAAAGTGTGATGGGATCAGTACACATTATTACAACAACTGCTATTAACGGATCTGTTTGAATGGTATAGTATATAATTCACTAACTACAGTTATAAGCTATAGCTGATTCTAGAAGTATGGGAATACGACGGGTGCGTACGTATGACTGTTTTTCCCCTAACCACCTGTTACTAAATTTTCTGTTCGAATGTTTTCTGCGATATTTGGTACCGAAGTAACGACAACTTTAAACGAGGGTACAGAATATTTAATGTCTCACTTACTTTTTGCAAATTGATCGTATCGTTTCTCTCGAATATTATCATTGTGAGCATGCGCGGAAAATGCTTCTTACTGAGTACGAGGTGACATCGATTCACAAAAGAGAATCAGACGTCAGTCTTTAGACAACATTCGACATGAAAAGTTTAAAATATAACGGATACCGAGGTGTTTATTTTCACTGTAATTGTAACTGAGAGAATCGTAATACAATTCTGGTGGAAACATTTTTTTTTCATTACAGTTTGTGCGACTAGTAATAGTATTCGAAAGTTTTTAAATTATATTTTTATAATCACATTATATTAAGTAATGATAAAATGTGAAGAGTTTTAAATAGATATTATTTTTAGCTTATTTCTTTATATAATATTTAATATTATTTGCAATTTTCAGCGTGATTTTGTGTGTTTCTGTGCGTGTTAGAAATTGATGAAATTAATCTTTTTAATCTTTTTAACTTAAGACTTATTAAGATTTCTGCAGGTAGATTTTGAATGGGCGGTGAAACTAAATCGTTTTATTTTAAATCTGATTGGGCTCTGGCCTGAAACCGCACACAATTCACGACAAAGATTAATGTGCAATTTTCGAGTTCTCGTCACCTTTGTGGGTATAACGTTTGGTCTCCTTATTCCTTCTGTACATTCTTTGAAAAGAATTTTTGGAGACATTATATTAATGATAGATAATTTACAATTTACTCTACCAACTATAAGTTGCTCGATAAGAATCGCAATTTTCTGGTGGAAGAAGGAAGGTAGACATATAAAATTGTTGGCTATTTATCTAAATTATAAAATGCGGGAAATAATGAATAAAATTTAATCATTATACTATATGTGTGTGCGTGTGTGTAACATTTAAAAAATATATAATATATTAATGTTGTAAAGTAGCTGGAAAGTTATTTATGCAAAAGAATTTATTCATATATAGAAAATTTTATTTTTATACGAAAACTGAACTGTGGTAATAAATTTTTATAAATTTTCAAAAACACAAGTGCAATATGTATATGTATGCTTTTTTATTAAAAATATTATATATTAATGAGTTTTTAAAGAAAATTAATACATAATTAAAAATAAATCTATTACACAATTTACATAACCCACTTATAATACTTAATTATTATGTATATAAAAATATTAACAGAAAATAAAAAAAAATTATATACATACATACCTTTATAAAGATAAAGTAATCACAGTTATATGGATAATATCCACCAAGGGTTTATATGATACAATAAAAATTGCACATTACAAGTTTAATATTTTTGTTTTTCTGCATAATCTATATTTTTAACGAAAAAAGATTTTTTACTTTTAAATTTTTATCACTTATAATCAAATTTGTAATGGATCCTATTTCGATTTAGTAATTACATGTTAAGTGTTCTCAAAGTTATTAATACTGGCCTTTTTTTAAGCTATTGTACCAATCATGAATATGATAGTCGAGGATTGGGTAAAGTTGAAAACTGCACAAGAGAGAAGCGTAATGGTCAGAAAAGCACGTATTGCGCGCATAATTATTACCTTCGCATACTGCGCAATGGGAATAGGTTGCTTCTTCCTTATCATTCTACCTAGCTTTCGAATATCGATGAGAACCACGACCAATATTACTGATCCAGGGAGACCAATGCCTCTACAAACTTATTACATTTATGACGTAACAAAAAGTCCACTGTACGAGCTGACATTTATTAGTCAATCTATTTATATTGTTGTTGCCATGATGTCCTATAGCGGAATCGATAATTTTCTCGGACTGCTGGTTTTCCATATATGTGGCCAATTAGAGATTCTCAAGAACCATTTATCAAATTTGGATAAATATGTAAATTCTCACGAGAAATTAAAACATTGTATAATAAGACACATGCGTTTGCTTAGGTTTGATATTTACATATTAATTTAATTCATATAATTGTGAGCAATACTCCATTTTTATGTGTCTAATACACAGACCATCTTTTATAGAGCCATTGACATTATTGAAGATACGTATAATGTAATTCTACTCTTCTTATTTATATATTTCGCGGCACTCTTCGCTTTTTATGGTTTCCGGATAATTACCGTAAGTATTTAGAAGTTCATATAAATAGTTGTTTGAGCAAATTAATTCTTAATATCAGAAAAAATAATATATTTTATCTAAACTACTTCGATGTTTATGTAATATTTTATTATACATTTTGAATTTATAGTAAAATGAAAAATCAAATATTTTCTCTTATATTATAAATTAATTAGCTATTTGACGAAGGAACTGATATATCATTCCCTCACTTGATGTATTTTGCATCCACCGTGATCAATTTATTTGAACATATGTGCTTATACTGTGCTCTTGGCGAGATTTTGGTTGCTCAGGTTAGGTGAACATGTCTCTTTTTCCTGTACAATTAAATAAATTTTAACTTGCATAATTAATATCATGTAAATACTGTAAATAATTTAATATAATTAATATGCACAATATGCTACATAATAGTATGTAATTAATTTATTCAAAAAGTATTTAATGTATGATGTATTGAATCTAATATTGTCACATGTATTAAAAACTTAATAGTAACTTTGTACTTTATAATTCATAACTAAGTTGTTTACGACTTCATGTAATTTCATTTGGTTAACTACATATTACAAACGTTGCACGTAAATTCTTCTGAAACTGAAAATATATGTAGATTGATATTGCAATAGAATTAGAAATAAAAAGTTTTTATTTTGTGAGTATAAGTTTGACTAGACAGACTAGTGTATTAATTAACTTATAATTATTTATAATAATTACACATACCTGCGAAGGTCAGAAACAAAAAGTAGAGTAGATAAATCTGATAGATTGTTGAACGCTGAAAACGAATTTGGCCGTAGCATTTTTCCAGCTATACTCCTACCTACACTATATGTATACTCCTTCTTTTGTCGCTAAACTTTTTGTAACAAAACCTAAAATTTTGTAGGCCTGTATTATTTATAATTAATTTATAATTAATAACTAACTTTTATTCAATACTAGAATATGTAATAGTGTTCGACTAAAAATACTTTTAATACTTTCAAGTGTAATAACATATATTATGCGGTGTACAGTAATCAATGGTACTCCATGAATCCAAAAGCAACACAAAACTTATTGCTTTTAATGATAAGAGGCTCCAAACCGGTCTATCTCACCGCTGGAAAAGTATTTCCTCTGACGATGGCAACGTTTTGCAGTGTAAGTGTAAATTTATTATAATATTTAACAGTTATTATTAGGTATATTAAAATTTATTTAAAAAATACCAAGTTTTACATTTTTTTTAAAACTTTTGTATACGTTTTAAAATATAAAATTTGCATTATTTGTTTTATTTTACCTTTGTTTATTATGAAGTTTTAATATTAATTATTCAAATTTATATTATTAATAATATTACTAAAAAGTATATTTTTCAGTTAGTAAAAACGTCAGTTGGCTATATATCTGTTTTGCATACAACGAGAAGTTAATAACAAAGTGAGATAAATTTAAACTTATTTTGTTTGCAATTTTTTAAGAAAACAATAGTATAAGAGCTGTGCAATTGCAATTAATATCTAATTGCATATCAATTATAGATTTTCACCGCAGAATTTGAAAATATTTGGAAGTATCTATTAAATAATGAGTGGAATCAAATTCAAACCTAAGTCGTAGTTTATAAATATCTTTTTCATGGATAGTAGGATCAACAATTATTTGATTTTAATAAAGAATGATGTATTATATCTTGTAATTAGTTTAGTTTTATTCGAGATGGAAATGCTTTTGTATAATCTTAAGATTATTTTCACCTTTATTTAACAAAACTCCATATTCTTTTTTAAATAAGTAAATTTTATACTTTATTTTGTATATAATAATACACAGTAATAACCTAACGCACTTTATTTAAATTTGTTATCACTATTTTTCTGAATGCTATATTTTACAATTTAAGTGGAACCTTTTTTATTCTTAATCTTTATTTTTGTATCTAAATAAAATGAAATTTCAAAAATTGTATAATTACTTTTGGCTTTCCATTGAAAGTTTTTCTTCTGCGGAATATTGCGGTGAATTATATGTACCTCATAAGGTCTTTTGTAAAATTTTCTTTTCAGTTTCTCACATTTGTCCTATGAGAATATCTTATAAATCTGTCTCCGTAGAAATAATTGATTTATTAATTTGCAATTATTTTAACAACTTAATAACTATTATATTTTATGTTCTATATTTATCGTAAAGAATTCATATTTTATAAAAGAACATAAGACGATACAATACAAATTCTTGCGAATTTATTTAAAAAATATAAAGACCGTAAGAGCGGTACATACAGTCTACTACTATAAGTCATAAGCAACCGAAGATTATAGAAGCGTGGGAATATAACTGGTGCACTTAAGTATGCTTTTTTTCTACAAACATGTTCACTTGTCATCGTGCAATTTTTTATTCGCACATGTTTTGTATGATGATCTGTGGTGGAAACTTGTCGGAAATTTGAAACGATAGTAGAAGCAGAATATTTAAAAGATATTACTTTGTTGAAAGTTTTGATCGTTCGATATTTTCAAGAAGCAATATGTAAGCATGCGCAAGAAATGATCTTTGCTGCACAGGAGGTGACGTCGATTCATGTACGAAGAATAGACGCCAGTCTTTAGATAACATTGGGTATAGAAAGTTCAAAATATGACAGATACCGAGGTGCTTATAGTTTTGATCATTGTTACTGTAATTGAAAGAAGCCTTAAAGACGAATTTTACTATAATAGCAAGTTGTGCAAACAGTGGCAGCATTTATAATAATTAATAATCCGCAAGTCTTATTTTCTCAGAAATAACAAAAATTCTAAATTATCGCTTTTAATTTGTGCTTCTTATTAATACACTAAATTAATTGTTGTAACAATGTTAAACATATCTAACTATAGAAATTTGAAGTTAACGACTTTTGGTGTTAGTTATTTATTATTTTCTGAATAACTTTTATTAAACTTTAAACGACTAATCAAAAGTAAGGATACTTTATTTTAAAAGCCACTTCAAATACTTCGTTAAATAACTTTTATATACTGATTATAGTTATTGTATATTTGTGTGTGTTTTGATTTGTGTAATCCTTTTCATAAACTTTAAACTTATAAAGGTTTCTGCAGGTAGATTTCGATTGGGAAGTGAAACTACATCGTTTCACTTTAGATTTGTTTGGACTTTGGCCCAAGACCATACAAAATCCTTGGCAAAAGTTAACGTGCAATTTTCGAGCACTTGCCGTTTACCTAGGAGTAATATGTGGCGTTCTAATCCCTTCGATACATTCTTTGATACGAATTAATGGAGATGTCATGCTAATGATAGATAATTTGCAATTTACTTTACCAGCAATAAGTGTCACGATAAGAATTATGGTTTTTTGGTGGAAAAAAGAAGGTAAACTTTATTTTAATTATAACTGTGTATTTGTTATATTTGATTGTCGTATTATTTTATCATATAGAATTACTCCTTTTGTCCCACCTATTGTCGAATACCCTGTATATAATATTTAACATTTTATGAATAATAAAGTTTATGCTAAATGCTATCAGATTCCTAGATCAATATTAATATTTCTACTGATTTTTAATTATAATGTGTGTTTTAAACATATATATGAAACTAATAACTTTATTGCAATCTTTTCTTTTCTATGCTTTTTACTGTTTAGGATTAAAATTAATATATTTTAATTTAGCAATATACTGTGAAGGGTAAAATATGCGTAAAACTGTTTACTTTTTAAGCTATTATACCGATTATAAATATGATCTCGAAGGATTGGATAAGGACACTAACAATAAGTGACGAAGAGAGATGTTTAATGATACGAAGAGCACAAAGTGCACGCATAATTATGATTTGCTCCTACTGCGTTATGGGAATGCAGTGCTTCACTCTCGTACTACCGCCTGTTTTCGGAGTGTCAATAAGATTGACTCCTAACATTACTGATCCAGGAAAACCAATGCCTTTACAAACACGTTATATTTATGATATAACAAACAGGCCACAACACGAATTGACATTTATTAGTCAAGCCATCATTATAGCTACCGCTATGATGGTTTACATTGGAATAGATAATTTTTTGAGTCTCCTGATTTTTCATATATCCGGCCAATTAGACATTCTCGAGAATCGTTTGATGCGTATGGATAAATACATAAATTATCCAGAAGTATTAAAGTGTTGCATAAGAAAGCATGTCCATTTGCTTAGGTTTGTTATTTATAAGAACATATACACAAATATAATCCATGCTAAGTGTATGATCATGGCAAATACATTTACAATATAATATATGAAATGTTTTTTATAGAGCAATTGCTGTTATTGAAGATACGTATAACATAATACTCCTTTCTTTATTCATATATTTTGCAATTTTATTCGCTTTTTATGCATTTCGGATAATTAGCGTAAGTATCCAAAAGCTTCGAATCTAGAATTGGTTTGTTATTTAATTTTTAACATAAAAAAACGTGTAATACTTGCAATATCTAAAGTGTCATTATATTCATAAAATATTTTTCTATAATATTATAAATATTTAAAATAATTTTAATTCTAAGAAATTTATAATATATTTTACACTTAATACTGTAAATTAATTAGCTATTCGACGAAGGAAATGATTTATCATTCTCTCACTTGATATTTTTCACATTGACAATTTTTAATTTATTTGGACATATGTGTCTATATTGCGTTCTCGGCGAGATTTTAATGGCCCAGGTTAGTTACACATATTTTTTTATTACAAAAATATAATTTGACTCTCGCATAACTCTACACCATTTCATAATAACTTTTATTTAGTTGGGACAATCTACGTTTATGTAATAATTTATATCTAAAAATATTTTTGATATTTTCAAGTGCAATAAAATCTATTATGCTGCATATAATAATAAATGGTATACTATGAATCCAAAAAACATGGAAGCTTTGTTGATTTTAATAACAAGAGGCTCGAAACCAGTTTATCTTACCGTCGGAAAAATATCTCCTGTTACAATGGCCACATTTTGCGGTGTAAGATATTTTACTGTTTAATTATAAGTGTCAGATTAAAATTCTGTTTGGTATTACTAAACTTTTATTAAAGTTTGTTATGCAATTATGTTTTATTATACATATGTATACAATATGAATTCTTTATTTCACATACACATATAGGAGGTGTGGCTATTAAAGAACGAGATTGGTAGCAAAAATGTGGGTTATTATAATTTTGCGAATTTCCCATTATTTGAAACGGTGTTGCAGGCCATCGTGTGTCAACCCCTTTAGCATTACCGCCGTTTTCTCCTTTACCTCGTCTTCAGTTTGAAAATGAGTTCCCTTCAGCGTAAAGTTTACCTTAGGAAACAGGTAAAAGTTACACAAAGCTAAATCCAGCGTGCAAAGGAAGTGGGACAGCCCTGAGATCCTCTTATCAGAAACTGCTTTATGGACAAAACATTGTGAGCTGGAACATTGCCGTGATGAAGAATCTACGTGTTGTTCTCACTACTGAATTAACTTTCGGACAGTGGATAAGATAAAGGAGAAAACAGCGGCGTTGCTGAAGAGATTGACATATGAACTGCAGCAGTTTCCAACAATGGAAACTTCGTATGCAATAGTATATACATAGATAGAGGAAGAAAATAACAATTCAGTTACAATATTGTAATAATAAACCACACTTTTGCCACCAGTCTCGTTATTTAATAGTACTTGGTGCTTCTTAATTTTATATGTCGTATTTTTTTATTTATTAAACTTAATGGGTTAACTGTATTGTTATCAGAATATATTTTTCAGTTGGTCAAAACGTCAGTCGGTTATTTATCCGTTTTGCACACAACGAGAAGGTGATAAAAAAAAGTGAGAAAAACTTTTTCCTACATTACGCAACTGTGTTTATGGAAATTTATAGTTCAACTATGCTAATATTAATATATCATTCACAAATGAATATATTTCAATGCATTTGTTGATTAGAATAAGTTAAGGATTCTTTTAAGTAATGGTACAAATCAAAATACTCACCTTCCAATACATTTTTATGTTTTGCATGTATCTTGAAAAACTCGAACAATTAGAACAAACAATACCATTTTTGTAAATTTCTTTTCAAAACCAGCGGTGTACGATATGCTCGATATACTCTACTATAAGCAAGAGTTATAAGTAAGAGAGGATTATAGAAGCGTGGGAATATAACTGGTGCACTTACGTAGACTTTTTTGCGTCAAACACAGCCACCTGTTATCGCGTAATTTTTTATTCGCACATGTTTTGCGTGACGAGCGGTGTTGGAAACTTGACAAAAATTTGAAACAAAAGTAGAAGCAGAATATTTAAAATACTGTGTTGCTGGTTGATCGTTCGATACTTTCGGGAAGTACCTAAAATTGTAAGCATGCGCAAGAAATGTTCTTTACTGCACAAGAGGTAACGTCGATTCATGATAGAGGAATAGACGCCAGTCTTTAGATAACAGTGGACATGAAAAGTCCAAAATATAACGGATACCAAGGTGCTTACAGTTCTGTAGTATTTTATTTTTTAATTTTATACAAGTAGTGGCATTATTTAACAATTGCAATCCATAGCTCACTTTTTCACTATTAACAAAACTTCTAGATTATTGCCTTATGCAGTAAGTTGTGTTTGCATCTGTTGTTGTCTTTTATGACTATATTATTGTTATATCTAACAACATTAGTTACATCTAACTACAACAACTTGAAATCAATCATGGCTTTTTAATAATTATTTACTATTTTCTGTATCATGAAGATTGTATTTTAAACTATTACACGCAATTTAATTATAATTATGTTTGTTGGAGTATGTTATATTAGAATTATGTAATCTTATTACAAGTTCTGGACTCACGATTTCTGCAGGTAGATTTCGAATGGGCGGTGAAACTCAATCGGTTCACTTTAAATTTGATTGGACTTTGGCCTAAGATCGCACGAAATCGTCGAGAGAAATTGATGTGCAATTTTCGAATGCTGATAGCTTGGCTGGGATTAATCGGCTTGCTTATCCCCTCTATTCACTCCCTGATAAAAATTTACGGAGACACTTTACTCATGTTAGATAATTTACAATTTACTTTACCAATAATAAGTTGTGCGATTAGAATTATAATTTTTTGGTGGAAAAAAGAAGGTAGAGACCATGCTTTATCATTTTTGGTAGAGATAATATATTGATAATATAATTTTTCTTGAAAAATTATGAAAACGTTGTTCATGTAAAGGCCTTCACACATAAAATTCCGTAAGGACGTAAAACGTAAGCATAAGAAAATCGACCAATCACAGTCGAGAACGTAAGGCAATGACGCAAGCAGTAGCAAATCCAATCTGTTGATTTTCTTACGTTTACGTTTTACGTCCTTACGGAATTTTATGTGTGAAGGCCTTAATGCTGTTCTAATTTTGTTCTGCCTTTTACTGTTTAGGATTGAACTTAATATATTTTAATTTAGCAACGTTGTAAAATGTGCATAAAATTGTTTATTTTTAAGCTATTATTCCGATTATGAATATGATCGCGAAGGATTGGATAAAGGTGAAAAGTGATCAAGAAAGAAACTTGATGATCCGAAGAGCGCAGAGTGCACGTATTATTATTATTTGCTCTTACTCTGTAATGGGATTAGCGTACTTCTTTGTCGCAATACTGCCTGCTTTTGGAATATCGATGAGATTAACTCCCAACGTTACTGATCCAGGAAGGCCAATGCCTTTACAAACTCATTATATTTATGATATAACAAACAGGCCACAATACGAATTGACACTGATTAGTCAAATCATTTATGTATCTGTTGCCATGACGTCTTATACTGCAATAGATAATTTTCTTAGTCTCCTGGTTTTTCATATATGCGGTCAGTTAGAAATTCTCAAGAATCGTTTGGAATGCCTAGATAAGTACATAAATTATCATGCAATGCTAAAATATTGCATAGCAAAGCATGTCCGTTTGCTTAGGTTTGTTTGCTATTAGACAATATATCTAAATAAAATTCATATGCATCGCGGTAGAATATTTTTAGTATATGAACTATCTTTTATAGAGCTATTGATGTTATTGAAGATACATATAACATAATACTTCTTTGCTTATTTATATATTTTGCGATACTCTTTGCTTTCTACGGATATCGGATGATTACTGTAAGTATTTTGGAACTAAAAGTTTGGATAAAAAATCGGTAAAAGAAATAAATGCATTAGTATTAAATATATTCTGATTAAAAAATTACTGTATTATTACTGAAATTACTACATTTCATTATCATATAAAATTTTGAATTGGCATCAATGAAAATAACTATATTTTTTTATTCATTTCACAAATTAATTAGCTATTCGACGAAGGAAATGATATGTCCATCAGTCGCATAGTGTATTTAATTTCTACTATTTTTAATATATTTACACATATGTGCTTATATTGCGTTCTCGGTGAAATTTTAATGGCCCAGGTTAGTTATATATTTTTATTTGCACAACAAAGTTATGCCAATTAAATATTGCATTATTAACTGTATATGTATACATATAGAGTTCCATATGGTTGTGACTAACTTATGTTTATTTGTATAGCAATGTATAATAATTAGTATCTAAAAGTGTTTTTAATATTTTCAAGTGCAATGAAATATATTATGCGGCATTTAGTAATAAATGGTATACCATGAATCCGAAAGTTGCAGAAGATTTGTTGTTGGTAATGACAAGAGGATCCAAACCAATATATCTCACTGTTGGAAAAGTGTCTCCTGTTACAATGGCCACGTTTTGCAATGTAAGATATTTTAATGGTTGATTATTACATCAAAATATTGTCTGGTGACACTGAAATTTTATTAAAAATTACTGTACAACCCCACACATTTTAATACATATAATTCGAATCTTTTATTTTAGGTGCGTTTGTATAGTATATACAATCTTAAACCTCGCAATTATATCTCTATTAAGTGCATGCTGTTAATTTACTCTATAATTGCATTAAAAATATATCTTTCAGTTAATAAAAACATCCGTTGGTTATATATCTGTGTTGCATACAGCAAGAAGTTGACAAAAAAAAAGTGAAGTTTCTTTTCCAATTATGCAAGTTTGATAAAATATGACGACTTAAGAACTGTGTTTTTTCATTAGCATGATATTTACAAATAAATAAATCGTATTATTTGGATGAAATAACATCAAATTTGTTTTTAATAATAGAACATTTCCAATTTAATTAAAATTTAAGAAACTTGTAATTTATCTATCGGTTTTCTCATAAACTTTAAGTTAAGCCATGAAATTAAATTTATTTAAAAAAATTTTTAACATAATGCCATAAAATATTGGATAATTTGTTTTATGTAACAATGTAAAATGTTTTCAAAAGCAACGCAATTTACTTAATAAAAAATGTATTAAACAAGAATTGTTTAATTTTTATGGCTCCTTATGTTCTGCACAGTTTCATTCAAGAGCATTATTGTTGAGATATAGAGATCATCCTCATTAAATAGAATTACTTGTTTTTCTTATATACTCATTTCCTTATTTATTTTATTATCTGTACAAAATACATAAATATGCTTATAGTATAATATTAATACCTATACAAATATACGTATAAAATGTCACAAACCACTTTACATTATTTTAGTATATCAAGCCAATTTTTTGCATTTTTGTAAAGTATAATATTGTAGAAACGATTAGGTAAGACTTAATCTTATTAAACAAAAATATTAGACAATTTATGTCTGTTAAAAAAGTTAACAAAATTAATTAAGGCTAGTACGTATTTAAGGTACTCGCTTTATATTTAACAAAAATTAAATGTAAATGTAATTTTCTTCCAAATAATTTTACGACCTCTTTAATCTCAATCTCAATGCGTTATTCAATAATAAGACAGGAGATTATTGCTGACAACAAGAAAGGAAGATAAGTGGAGAGATGAACATAGATTACTACAACAATTTATCGACAATGGATACATTTTAATGGTATTGTGTGCGGCCTACTACAAGTAAGTGTGAGCTATAGCCGATTATAGAAGCGTGGGAAAATAACGGGTGTATATATACGCCCTTCTTTCGTTAACATGATATCCATCTGTTAATATAAATTTCTCGCTCGCGAATATTTCGTGCGATGTTCGATATTGAAAGGACATAAACTTGAAACGAAGGTGCAGAATTATTTATTATACTTTGTTACAGACTGATCGTTTGTCTCTCTTAAAAAATATTATTAAGAATATGCGCGAGAAATGCTTTTTACTGAATACGAGGTAACGTCGATTCAAGAAAAAGGAGCGGACGTCAGTATCTAGATAACATTCGACATGGAAGGTTCGAAATATGTTGGATATCAAGGTGCTTAAAGTTTTGATACTTGTAATTCTACATGGAAAGAATCTTAAAAAAATACTGCTTTCGTTTATTAAGTGTAAACAATGCAATTTATGAAGTAATAGCATTTATAAAAAACAATTCATTTAATTAACGAAAGTTCTGGATTATTGTCTTTTACAATGTATTCTATTTCTTAATAACATGTTAAACTGTTGAACGATAAATATTAATATCTAAATATAGTAATTTGAGATCAAACATTTTTATTATCAGTAATTAATTATTTTCTAAATAATCTTTGAACTTGCATAAATGATAAAACCTAAATTACTTATTTTCCAAATACACCAAGTAAACTTTTATGTCTAAATATTTCGTTAAACATTTATGGAATCTATTATCTTTCTATATATAGAATCAATTTCACATTCTGTATAGAAATTTTATGTATTCTTCGCTAATTGTGATTTTATTTATTTTTGTTAATAATTACATTATATGATACATCACAAACTCCGACTTATTAAGATTTCTACAGGTAGACTTTGAATGGGCAGTGAAAATGAATCGTATTACTTTAAACTTTATTGGGCTTTGGCCTAAGACTGCACAAAGTTCTCGAGAGAAGTTGATGTGCAATTTTCGGGTACTTGTCGCTTTCTTGGGATTAATATTTTGCGTTTTGATTCCTTCTATACATTCATTAATAAGAATTTATGGAGATGTTATGCTAATGATAGATAATTTAAATTTTACCTTACCAGCTATAAGTTGTTTGATAAGAATTGTGATTTTTTGGTGGAAGAAAGGAGGTAAACATATTCGTAATTACAAGATATACTATGTAATATGATAAAAGATACTTTTATTTAAGTGAATTTGTATAAATTAAGTAAAACTTTTGTTTAAATTATAATTGTGCAATTATATTATACATATAATAACAGGTTATGAAATTCATTGTTACTACTTATTTATTATTTTTGCTTAAAACTAAATAATATTAGTTCTATTTCTTTTATTTTTATCACTTTACATTAAATTTAGTAGTTACTTTTTCAATTTGACAGTACTATTAAGTAAGTATGCATTGAAATGTTTATTAACTGATATTTTTAAAGCTATTATACCGGTCGTGAATATGATCGCAGAGGATTGGATAAGGTCAAAAAGCGCGCAAGAAAGAAATATAATGATTAAAAGGGCGCATACTGCACGTATGATTGTTACTTGTGCATACTTTATAATGGGAACAGCATGCATCCTTATTATCGTTCCCTCAGCCTTTGGCATATCAATAAGATTCACTTCCAACATTACTGATCAAGGCAGACTAATGCCTCTACAAAGCTATTACATTTACGATGTAACTAAATCACCGCAGTACGAACTGACGTTTATTAGTCAAGCAATTTATTCTGCTATTGGCATTATGTCTTATACTGGAATCGACAATTTTCTCGGGCTATTAATTTTCCATATATGCGGTCAATTGGACATTCTGAAAAATCGTTTGATACGTTTTGATAAATACATCGATTCTGATATGCTGAAAAATTGCGTGACAGAACATGTCCGTTTAATTAGGTTTGATATTTACATCAATTTATATGAATAATCAGTTTAAAATATGTAATCAAATATATCTAATATCGTGAAATGTATTTTGCAGAGCTATTGCCGTTATTGAAGATACGTATAATATAACACTTCTAGTCTTATTTGTATACTTTTCAATACTCTTTGCTTTCCTTAGTTTCTGCATAATCAATGTAAGTATTTAAAAACTTGAAAAAGAAATATTTTAATATTAATAAGAATTAATAGACAATATGTTGTAAGTGTGAAAAACTACAATATCTACGTAACATTTTATTATACACTAACTTTAATATTATTAAAAAAGAAAGTTGGATTTTATTATATGTAATAAATTAATATTATAAATTACTTAGCTAGTTAGCGATGGAAACAAAGTATCACTCATTTATTTGATATGTTTAATGAGCATTATTTTTAATTTATTTGGACATATGTGTCTATATTGTGCTCTTGGTGAATTTTTGATGGCCCAAGTAAGTTGCATATATTTTATATTATAAAAAATTTATTATGTGTGTACGTATTTAGGTTTACGTGTTATTATACATATAATTTACAAATTTACTCGGTATTTTATTAATAGCACACTACGTTTAACACCTATCAGAATATAGTATAATATTAATATCTACATACAATATCTACATACAGTTTAATTTAGTTTTTATTTTATTCACATATTGTAAAAATTTAATATATGCTTTAGAAACACGAAAAGTGTTTAACAATGAAATGCGTAAAATAGAAAATTTTTTAGTATTAATAATTTTTTTCTGTAATAAATCCAAACAATGCAACGATTGCTCAAGAAAACTAATATTAACTTTAATTTTAAGTGTAATGAAATATATTATGCGGCATACAATAATCAATGGTACTCCATGAATCTGAAAATTGTACAAGATTTATTGCTTTTCATGACAAGAGGTTCTAAACCAATCTATCTCACTGCCGGAAAAATGTTTCCCTTAACAATGGCCACATTTTGCAGTGTAAGATATATTAATTTTAAATTTGAATTGCTTTAAAAGCATATGTATATTAAATAACGAAATTTTAAAAACAAAAAGTATAAGGGCTATGAAAGTATACGCAGATGTTGAAGCGTAATTCGTTTGTGTCAATATCAAAGAAGATTGTTACATTACTTTTAATAGCCTTTATGTTTTTTAATATTACTTCAAAAATTTTATTAAAAATTTTTGGAGCATTAACTTGTGTTAGAATGATATACCTAATAATTGACATTCTTTAGTTATTTTACAATTATCTATTTATCAAGATTGTATGATAAATTTTATTATTATTAAAGAAATGTGTTTTGCAGTTAGTGAAAACATCAGGTGGTTATATATCAATTTTGCTAACAACAAGGATGTAATAAAGGAACAATACATATGTATATTATTATATTATTACATTATCATATAATATAATTTAAGAATTGTGCAAGTATTAATTTATTTAACAATAAATGGTAAATATCTTACTGCATGATTGTGTCAAAACATATTGTTGTTTCCTGTTAAATACATAAAGGAAAGCATTTTTGACAAAAAAGATACATAAATTCAATTTGTGATACATATTTTATATTGTAAAGTGCGATTTTAAATTCACGTATAATATTTTAATATTCAGCTAAAGGATTAAAATGACATACATGTATAAGTTTTTGAAATTTAAATAATAGTATGAAGATTTTTGAACGTAATATTTTAATTTACACGTGCTATCCTGTGCACATAAAACTTTGATTTATAATTTTAGGAATATTTCGTATACAATTTACTAGATTTTTAAACATATTTATGATTATACATGCTTTATTTTTAATTATTGATTGTAATTATGAGTACTCGTATTTACTTAAGTCGATGCAAAATACTTATATCATAGCAGTCATTATAGTTGTATCACTATAATTATGATATTAAAGTACACTGTCGATCGGCAGACATGATATAAGAGTTGCATCATACGGACATATTTCAGTGATTAATCCCCTTTCAATTTGTGTCTCCAGATCTCCCCTAAGCAGTTATTAGCAATTATTAGCATCGTAATAATATCGATTTCTACGCTTGCGTGGGAATATAGACACACACGTGGCATCGCACCCACGCTCAACCACCTGTTATTATCAAAGTTTCGTCAGGGACTACTCGGACTGCTGGCAAGGGAAAACAAAAAAATGGTCTCAACTCTTTTGTTACCGCGCCAACTGCGAAAGGATATGTGAGTACTACCGCCGACTATAGTCGTTCGGAACAACGCTATACATTCCAAACACACACGTATGTGGTATTTTTGCCAAAACATGTGGATACATGCCCATGATAACGTGACGTACGAGTATTCAAGTGGTAATGTAACTGTGCGGTTGTTCACCTGATAGTATGGACGCTTTCTTCTTTTTCTGTATCTACTTCTTGCAAAAAAGTGAGAGGGGAAAAAATTCCTGGAATATACATTTGGCTGACGTTCTCATATTTTCGAGAGCTCGTATTGTGAGCATGCGCAGCAGACGCGTCTATAGTTGAATAGAAGGTTACTTCGTTGCACGGGACAAGAAGAGGGGGCAGTTCTTAAATGGCATTCGACATGGAAGGATCGGAATATTCTGAATATCAAGGTGCTTGATGTTATGACAATTACAGTGGAAATGAAACAGTTTTGTGGAAATGTACTTATTATATTTGTACGGGCTCAACTGAAATTGAAGTTATATTTCAATTTCTTCGCTAGTGAATTATTATTAACATAAATAGCAACAATAAATTTTTACATATACATATATAACTTTTGTTACAACTTGTCAGTGACGTTTTCTGTTTGCTTCAATTATAAAAGCACTTATTATACGTTACAATTTTTTAAATTTACTAATATTTCTAAGCACTTAATTATTATTAAAATTTGCGTTCGTGGCGTATGCGCGTAAACCTGAGTACTTGTCATGAAATTACTATTTTTATTGCAAGATTGTGTTGAATAATATTATTAAATTATCAAGTGCGATTACAAGAAATTACAATAATTACCTTTTTATTTTCTGCGTTTAATTATCGTGACAGTGCATTTATTTACTTTTAACTAGGTTTTAAAATCAACTATTTGTAAGAACTACGACTTATTAAAATTTCTACAAGCAGATCTTGAATGGGCAGTGAAGCTAAATCGTGTTAGTTTAAAATTGATGGGGCTGTGGCCTAAAGCCCAACAAAATTCTCGAGATAAGTTAATACGTAATTTACATGTACTCGTTACTTTTCTCGTAATTGTAATCGGCATTCTCATTCCTGCTGTGCATTCATTGATAATGATTCATTCGGACCTCATGCTAGTGATTGATAATTTGCAATTTGTTGTGCCGTGTATGAATTGTGCCATAAAAATTATTATTTTTTGGTGGAACAAAGAAGGTAAATGTAATTGTAATTACATTTACAAATATTTTAACGAAAAATATGTCACATTTAATGATTTTTATTTCAATACAATTATTCGCAAATTTGTTTTTGTATTAACATTTTGACTTTTCTCAAGCTGTTGCAACAATAATAAATATAATAGCGGAAGATTGGCAAAGATCGAAGAACGTACAAGAGAGAAATATGATGATAAGAAGAGCCGAAAGTGCGCGCATAATTACCACATTCGGATACTGTCTTATGGGCTTATCATATATCTTTATTGTCTTTTTACCTGCTTTTGGACTTTCTATACGATACCTGTCAAATATTACCGATCCAGGAAGACCAATGTTAATACAGTCTTATTACATGTACGACGTGACGAAAACTCCGCAATATGAGATAACATATGTTGTGCATTCGATTTCTGCTTTTTGCGCTTTTACGTGTTATGTGGGAATCGATAATTTTCTTGGATTAATAGTGTTTCATATCTGTGGTCAGTTGGACATCCTTAGACATCGTTTTATTTGTTCGGATAAATTTATGGACTTTCATGTCGTTCTAAAGAGCTGCGTGATGGATCACAGTCGACTGCTGAGGTATTATTGTTCAGCTTTGTCATTTTTTCTCTAGAAATAAATGTATCACATATTACCAATATTCGTACGTGTCAAAACTTTACAGAAAATAAAATTATTTTCCAATTAAGTAAAAATTATAAGAAAAATTATTTAACTATCTTAATTTTCAAACTGTATTATGACGTAAAAAGGCATAATTTTTACAGCTGCTTTAATTATTCACAATTTTGTTAATTACATCCAATCTGCAAAAGTTCAAATACTGCACACAATGTATCTATTCTTTACAATTTAATCAAATATAAAAGTGATGTAAAAAATATTATTTTATTATAGAACCATTGCTGTTGTAGAAGACACGTACAATATAATACTTCTTACAATATTTTTAAGCTTTGGTGTTTTATTTGCTTTTTATGGATTCGTAATAATTAACGTAAGTGCTGAAAATTATAAATTTTTTTTACACAATAACTTATTTGCATTATAATAAATATTTTTAATTATAAATATGAGAAAATATTCAGAAAGTTATATTAACTGAATGTTATATTGTATATTTGAATATCACATTTAGCAGGGTTATTTATATAATTTTGTGATATGAACTTTATATTAATATAAAAATTATGCCATCTTACACCTATTATATTATTTCATTAGTTGCTCGTAAAAGGGAATCTATTGATCACTCGCTTGCTATATCTTTTAAGCAATATCATTAATATATTAGGTCATATGTGCCTTCATTGTGCGATCGGCGAGATTCTGATGGCCCAAGTAAGTTTAGTTCTCAATTTTAAAAGATAAAGCTTAGTAGCTAATCAAATTTTTCAATATGATATTTTTAAGTGCGATAGAATTTACTATACAGTATATAATCAAAAGTGGTACACATTGGAACCGAATGAAGCCAAAGATTTGATTCCCGTAATAATTAAAAGCAGAAAACCAGTTTATCTTACTGCGGGAAAAATATTTCCCATAACAATGGCTACATTTTGCAGTGTAAGATACTTCAAACTGCAATCTTTAATGAAGACGTTATTATAATATATACTGTTTTAAGTTTTATTATAACATTTACCTTATATGTACGCAGGGTGTCACGCATAAAAGGTCTATCCGCTCGTATACAAATAGAGTGAGATAAACTAAAAAGTATTATTTTGTAAAATTCACAATAGTTGTCGAGTAAGTAATTCAAACGTTAAAAGCGGTGGACCAGAATGCTGTAGGCGTGTGAAATAGATTATTTGTTAGATCTCCTAGCAACGATGAACCTCATAGCCTGATAGCAAGAGGTAAAGCGATGCATGATACTTGACTTCGTGCCGGAAAAAAATTATCACGTAGCAAGTAGCGAGCCTTAGATGATGCTCACCATAACTAACAAATAAGCAGGGTTGTAAACCGAACCGAACCATTGAAGTGTATCCGCTCCGAGAGAACGGATCAAAATTTCAATTATAAAATCGTTCCGATCCGGAGCGAACCATTTTTGATTATGATTTCAAACGCTCCGGTTTCGAACCGGAGCATGAAAAACCGGTTTTGGAGCGGTTTCTTGATCTAAAAAGGATTTAATTTATTTAAAAAGATTTACCACGTTTGAATCTTTGCTACATAGCTGGAGAGGTGGTAAATGTGCAAATTTCACCAGTTTGGTTCGATTTGCATTCCAAGTTCTAAATAATTTACTTCATTTATTCGGTTTTCGGGACGGTTTTTAAACTCGAACCGGTTCAAAACCGCTCCAAAGAACGTATTTATGCTCCGGTTTACAATCTTATTCGCTCCAGTTCGGTTTACATCCCAAGTTCCAAATAATTTACTCCGTAAATTCATCCGGTTTTCGGAGCGGTTTTTAAATTCGAACCGGTTCAAAACCGCTCCAAAGAACGTATTTTTGCTCCGGTTTACAACCCTGCAAATAAGCTATTTCACATGCCTATCGAATCCGTTTTCTACATCAACGGTTATTCGCGCAGACATATCAATTAATTACTCGGTAACTACTGCAAATTTTACACAATAATACATAAGATTTCTTTCCAGTTTAAACCACTCTATCTGTATACGATTAGATGGACACCTGGTACAGGATGTCCTGTATATCCATTTCCTTTTGTTTTCGACTCGCCAAGTTATTATAATGTGCAGTCTTATTCATTAATGCTTGGATCTCAGTTTTACTAAGATTCGCATTTTCATAATCTTTGTTCCCATCTATGCATCGATAAGTGTCAGGCTGTAGTTCACACTATAGAAGTCTGTGGTAGTACATACAGTCCGAAACTCAGTGATTTGTATAGATGAGAAAAAGGATAAAAATACAGGCCCAGGTTTCATTGATAAATAAGACTGTACATACAGATTTCAAGTTTTTATAAACGAATTTTATTCAAATCGTCTTTTGTAAAATACTATTTTTAAATAGTTTTTTATTTTTTCAGTTAGTAAAAACATCGGCTGGATACATGTCTGTCTTGCTTGGGATGTCAATATGAAAAATTAAAATAAATACTAAAATATTTTTATATTATATTGTACACAAGATTTCAAAAATATGTATTAATTTATTAATATAATTACGTAATTATTTAATTAATAAATATGATTTGCCAAAGTATAATCTGGAATTTCTTAATTTTAGATAAAAAAAACTTTAATAGCAAAATTATTTAAGCCTTTGAGTTAAGAACTACAAAGTTTATATTCTATAAAGTTTATCCAAAATATTATTACTCTTCTTTTATTAGAAAATTCAGGTTTTTTTTATTAAATTTTGAATATAATACTATAATACTATTATAATTAATTACAAATTATTTTCTACTTCTTTATATGTACACATTCAATACTTGAAAAAAAAATTTTTTTAACGTTCGTAAAAGTCCTAAGATAGTACATATAGTATTAAATTAATAAAGATGGTATTATGTACAGACTGACGTAATTCTGTATTAATATCACAACACACGAAGAAAAATACTCTTATTTATTTCACCATTTAACTCAAATTTTATTATGTTATGATAACAGCAATATTACAAGACGTCTATAGACCACAAGACTATAGGCAACTAATGATCGATTGTCACTGCATCAAAACATGACTGTCACATCTACACGAATTGCCATAACCAAGTACTTGTCCACCAGTCATTAACTCAGTTTTTATTTATGAACACATCGAACGATGTCGTACATACTGGTAGTTATTGAAAGTTGTACAACAAGAGGGTACACTTAGAGTTTTGAAAATTTACTACTTACAGTGCACATGAACTATTCTCTTGTTTTTAGAATTTTTATTATGGACGAGAAATATCGTCTCTGCTAGAACTCATGTCGTTATGTGATGAAGAAATGAATATCAGTCTACATTTTACGTTCAGTATGGAAACATTAAAATTCCTTACGTACCACAATACCTCTCATAACAAACATCATAACGCGTCATTATTAGGAAAAGGTCAGAGAGCTATGTCAAAAATCAGACACGATTACTATTCGTTATAAGATATATTAAAAAATGAAAATCTCTTTGTTGATTTTATATCATTCGTATATTTCGACATTACAACATATACATACATATATTGTAAAGTCCGAAATAATAATGGACATGTTACAAATTCTTGCTTTATCTTGAAAGTATCTTACATACAATAAACAAACCATTTAAGAAAATTATTTTCTCTATTTTTAAAGTTATTGTAACATTTACTATGTAACACAGCTTAATCACAATTAATTTCGACCGATTTGCCTTGATATTTAAAATGCTTAACACAATCTTGTTAAAATTTTTGTAAAAAAAACTAGATTTCGAATGGGCAGTGAAGTTAAATCGATATAGCTTAAAATTAATCGGACTTTGGCCTAAACCTGAACAAACAACATGGGAGAAGCGTATGTGCAATTTACGTGCGCTTTTCGTTTTCATAGTGATGTTATTCGTTGTTGAGATTCCTGCAATACATTCTTTGATAAGAATCCGTTCCGACATTTTATTACTGACAGATAACTTGCAGTATACTTTACCAGCCACCACCTGTGTCTTAAGATTTCCAATTTTTTGGTGGAAGAAAAAAGGTCGGTTACAATTTTATTATTGCACAATTAATACACATTAACAAATTTAAAAAATATTTTTACCGTATGTGTTTTATATTTCAGCGTAACGCTTGCTATTTACTAGCTACTTTATTTGTGCTTGTAGTAGTTAGTTTATAAATAAAGTATTATGCAACACTTATAACCACAGACAAACTATTTAATAATACATAACATTTTCTGCATACAACTTCATACAAATAACGTTTTTATAAAACATATTAAAATCTTTGGTTATATTTAATTGCTTTATTCAGACATTTGTTAATGTAAATTATTAAATAATAGTATATTATTCTGCAGTCTGATTAATGTTCCTTATTATTATGTTTTTTGTAAAGCTGTTACAGCGATAGTAAATATGATGGCGGACGATTGGTTAAAGGCGAAAACATTTCAGGAAGAAACAGCCATGGTCGCAAGGGCGCAAATTGCGCGCACTATTATAAAAATTGGGTACGGCTTAATGGGAATGAGCGCGATTGTTGTAATAATTTTACCTGTATTTGGCTACTCAATGAGATACCGCACTAATATCACTGATCTGGAGAGACCATTTCCAATACAGACATATTATATCTACGACACGACTAAAAGTCCACAATACGAACTAACATACACTATTCAAAGTATTGCCCTTGTCTTGACTGTCATGTGCTATTCAGGCGTTGACAATTTTCTTAGTCTTTCGGTATTTCATATTTCTGGTCAGCTGGACATTCTGAGAAATCGTCTTATGCATTTACATAATGTCACGAATTACAATGACGTTTTAAAGAATTGTGTGACAGAACACATCCGGCTATTTAGGTATACCAACTTTCATATATTGTAGATGTATTCTTAAACACACAACTACATTAAAATTACATTGAATCATATGCACTGAATATATGTACATTGAATAATATCTGAATAAATATATGAGTAATCCGTCAAAACACAAAACTAAATATTGGTTGTCAAATTAAATATAAGAGAGACTTTGTGTATAATGTGCTGTATTGTCGTATACAAAAATTATGAAATAATGAAATAAAACCTCTTATGTTCTGTAAATATGTAACTATATGTATGTATTTGTGTAATTACTTTTATTTTTACGTAATAAAATGTGACAATTATTAAATTTCTCTGAACATTACGATATATTCAAAGTTCTTCTTTTTTTAATAGAATAAGCAGTATAATGTAATTAATGTTAAATTCCGGTAAAATTAATACTTTTTCTAATTATACAGGGTGAGTCTTTCCATATCCGACAAAATTTTTGAGAAGGTAGAACGGATCGAGATGAACGGAAAAGTCCTGTACCATTTTGCAATTTTCGTAATAGTTAACGAGTAATTAATTATTAAAAATCGTTGTCTTAGGCCGGCCTACCGCCCAATTCGAGCGCGTGGCAAGATGTGACCGCC